TGCTACACGCATGAAGAACTCTATATCCCGACCTTTTATTTCCTACTGACTTACTTCTTCGTTTTCCTCTCTTTTCTCGCAAATGACGAAACATCTCTTGTTCGCCGTACGGTACGTGTGTTTCTGTTATTCCCCTTCACTTTCTACGCAAACGCGTGGATTTCCTACGTGTGCCGAGAGGTACGGAATAGAGCCGTTTATCCGCGTGGAGGATGAACATTTACAGCTCATCAGCGTGAACGCCGGAAGTCTTCGTCTTCCTCACGAGGCTCTCCCTCGAAACTCGTCGAATCAGCGTAACAAGAATTCTACGAATCTTTTCGAACCGCGGAAGCTGTTGTTCGCTGTCTGGTGATTGTTTGGCTCCTTTGTTCCTCGATCTGCAAAATTTACAGCATTCCAAGGTGACGCGCGACACGTCGCTAGGACGTGAAAGGAGTATGGAATCCTTCGTTCTACACGATCCGTCACGTTCGCCGATAGACGAGCTTGTTTGCGCGAGAAATTATCGCGAACGTTACGTTAATATTGGCTCTATCGAACACCTATGCGCTTCCAGTTTCCGTTTTACTCGGAAGTTCGATCCTTTCGATCGCTGCCGCAATAAAAAGATTAGACAGAACTACGTCGATATACGTGTACAGTGAAAGGTGTATTAATCGAAGAATAAAGGGACGAAGAATGCGGCGAGAAGTGGAAGATTGGTAAAATATCTGGAAAATTGACGAGCGAGAAGGGATGCGTTAAAGTAGTTACGTCCAAGGAAGAACTTTTCCTTCAATTTACAGCAGAATGCTAACAGGAAAAACAGAGTTGTAACTAAAATAAGATCGTAACTTTATCGTAATTACTAGACCGTAATTTTGCAGGGGCGCGACAAATTACTTCCACCACCTAAGCTACGTTTCCTCCTTGAGAAAACTTTATCGAATTCTCCGGGAAAAAGGGTGGCACGTGAAGGGTAGATAACATTGAATCTTCATGCTCGTTTAATCAACGTCATTGAAAATGAGAATCTCTCTTCCACTTTTTATTCTCGTTATTTATAGAACTTGGCAATTTAATGCGATATCGTTGAATCTTTGTTCAACCTTTTCGATACGAAATTTAAGTATAGTCGAACGACATTGCATACTCAAAGTGCCGAGAAATAGCGAGAATTTGTGATTTATATTCACGCCAATAGTCACCAAGCTAGACCAAAAACAATTTTTATGAAAAATAAGAAAATAATCGACGTCGTTGAAACAGAATTGTCTATGGGAATTTTTCATCCAATTTTTATTCTCGTTATTTATAGAACTTCGCAATTTAATGCAATGTCGTTGAATCTTTGTTCAACCTTTTCGATACGAAATTTAACTATAATCGAACGACATTGTATGTGTTAAGCACTCGGGTACTAATTCCGTGTACTTGGAATATTGCACTAGGTGCCGTCTGAAGATTGCGTTGAGAGTCTGACTGAATCTTTATTATTTCTAATGTAACTGATGGTCTGTGTACTAACACTCTGTGGTCTTAAGCTAAGTCGGCCTTCTTATCGAGTCGTCCCTCCTCCAAATCTTCTAAAATTTGAAGAAGGGACGCGAAGGGAGGTTCTTAAAATTACTAAGTGACCAACCCCGTATCACCCCCTTCCATTGCGCCCGGAGCGCGTCACGTCCTTGGAGCGGGGGTGACGAAGCTGGTCCTTGCTGGATGGAAATTTGCCAGGTCAACTCTGACTCTCCGACTCGTTCGGAAGGTCAGGTACCGAGAGGCCTCGGTAATTGCATCGGTTTCGAAGACCCTTCGGGGGTGACTTTATGATACCTTGCCTTACCGACTGAACAATAGCCTATTCTTTAATATTTGAGGAATTCTACGTGCCGCATGTTGGCTGCAGACCGGTCTGCTAAATTAAAATAACGGTTTGCTGAACAAGAAATCACGTATCATAAAATCGTCCCCTTGCTGTCCTAACAGTATGTATACTGAAAACACCGAGAAATAGCCAGCATTTGTAATTTATGCTCACACCAATAATTACCAAGATAGATCAAAAAGCAATTTTTATTAAAAATAAAGAAAAATTAAAAACAAAAATTTCTGCTCTGAAATTGCACATTTTCTAGAATAAGATAAAAAAAATAATAGCGCAGCTAAAGTGTTAACACGTTCGCTGCCATCGACGCAGCATATGCGGCCCAGAATATATCGACCAGCGTGCTATCAATTTTCAGGTGGCAGCGAACGTGTTAAACGCGAGATTACTTTTTATCTTTACTCTTAATTGTAACGCGAACAAGTCTGTTCGGTATTCGACAACATTTAATCCTCTCGTTACTACTAATAGCATGGTAATCAGGATATACAAGCAAGAGCGTGTGTAAACAACATTCCACGATGAAGACAACCGCGTGGTAATTATATGGCCTCGTTACTTCCATAATACGCGCGGCCGATATCCAAGAAATGCCCCCACCCCCCTGGTCGAAGTGAAGAGACGCGCGACGTGGCTGTACGGCGAACGTTTGAAATTTATCGCCGTATTAACCGGTACACCGTGTCGCGGAATTGTAAATGCAACTTTCATCGGAAGTGGACCACCTAGAAATTCCTGGTATTGCGCAACACGCCGCTGGATTATACTCGTTTAAATTCCATCTGGAACCTTTGTCAACAATCTGTCTCTCGCATGATGCAGAGTACCGTCGACCTTTCTGCTCCGATCCCTCCTTTTTCCCTTTTGTATCTCTTATTTGCATCGTCGCGGAGAAACTTTCCAAGTTCCACAGCACCGGAACCACCCATCGCGATCGAAAGTTCCTCGTGCCAAGACCGACGTCGTCGCAGTTCTGAAAAATCTTTCCAGACAGTGGTGTGCACGCTTCGACGGTGTCGTAACGCCTCTTCTGTTCGTACATACACGCGGGCACAAAGTCAATGAGATTACGCGGCGGACACCGGTCTCTATGCATTTCCTAGGTCGTACAGGATCATTTATGCGTTACAAGTGCACGCGTGTCGAACGAATGAACGAATCGTTCGATCTCCACTTCCGCGGCGCTCGCATCTCGCTTGAATTGTAATGGACGTTACCCCAGCGTGTTTCGCGTCTTTTTCTTCTTTTCCCTAGTTTCTGGCTCTTCCGCTATTTCCACGGCATTTTTTCGCGCGAATTATTCAAATAGGAAATGGATCTCGATGAAAGTTGTACACGTGGGATTTGATCGAATTTAAAAATACTCGAAAAAATGTGTGGCGCATTTTTTTTTTTTTTTTTTTTTTAAAAATCGGGGGAAACGAAAGTGGAGAAGGGAATGATTAGAACGTAAAATCCTCGTAAAGTGCATATATCAGTCATACGTCATCTTAAAGTAATGTAAGATCTTCTTGTGAAAAAAAAAGGGATCGTACATAAATCATACGTCAATCGTGTAATTTTACTTTCTGTATCGTAATTAATGAACGAGAGAACGATATGCTTGATGTAGTGAAGTCGAGTATCGTCGCTGGTTGAAAGTAGTATTTTGGACAAAATTTTTCGCAAAGAAACCAGTGTAAGACTATTTGAACTGGAAGAAGTACCTGCTACGTTAAATTACAATGGAAGTAATGTTCGATTATTGATGCAGCACTTGACAGAAATTATGGGATGTAAATCTTAATATATCTGGAATTTTATTTTACGATCGTTATTTACAAAGCAATGAACAAAATGGACTAAAGCTATTTGATATAATAAAGAGCATCCGTGTGTAAAAATTGCTTTCAACATTGTCACTATGAATTAATTACTAGGTATTTTAGAATAGTAATAACATCACATTATTATGTAACTCGTTTAGTAACAGAACTTTAAAGGACGCAATTTTACTATCGGTATAATAAAAATACATTTACAGGCACTTATTACATAAAGACCATTAAAAGGCTTTAGTAGAAACTGATTTATACCTCTATAGTTCTGTTTAATGTAGTATTATCTTATAGGATAGTGCTACATAACTGTAACAGTAGACGAAAATCATAGTCAATTCTCTTCTATCCTTCAATTATTTCTTTCGCTCGTTTATGTTTTGTAATTACAGAGAAAGAAAACGTTCACAACTTATCCCAACTTGATAGGATAAGAATGTTGTGCAAAACCTGCTTCGCATCAGACTGTTGGAAGACAGTACCGATAATATTGTAACATTCCTTAATCGGGATTTGTAACGTTAATTGCAATCGTTACCTTTTCGTTATTTATACTATGGAGATTATCGATATTCGCATTGTTACCTAAATTAACTTCTTTGTCGATTTTTTGAATTTTAGAATACGCAGCAAATATCTGATCATTTTCAACTAATTTATTTACATCTGTAGTATTATCTTTAATTATACTAGAACTATTGTTACTAGTAGCAGTACAAAGGCTTGTAGCGGCAGTATGTTTTAAAGCCAAATATTCGTCAACCGAACCCGTTGTATTTTTCTCTGCAATTTTATTATTAGCTTCTACTATAGGCGGTGACAATGAAGGATTTTTATTCGGAGATGTACTAAGTTTGGAAAGCCTTTGACGTTCCCGTAATCGTTTCCGAATTTCCGACTGAATCTTTGATTCTTTTATTACGTTTTGAACATCGTCCGTTTGATAGTAACGACTTGCCCAAGTTTCAGTTCCGTTTGATTTTTGTGGAGAATTTAATTCCCCTGGAGGTTTGCACTGCTTATCTTCTATAACTTGCTTATTTTTATTTTTATCATTTTCACTATTTACCATCTCATCCATTTCGTCGCAGTAATCATCTAAATCAATTATTTCGTCTAAGTCAATGGATTTTTCTTCGTCTAAAATTACTTTACCTGATGTAGCTGATACTTCTACGGAACTTTGTTTGTTTAACGATGAATTATCACGTGCTACTTTTGATTTAACGCTATTCTTGTGTTCTTCTTCGTTTAATTTCACACTTTCCAACGAACATTCATTGTTTTTTATATTCTTTACATTTTGGTTAACATTAGACGATTTTAAACCATCTGTGTCTACTTCAGAATTTACACTTTTTGATTGTTCTTTTACATGTGACTTCTTTTTCGTTTTTCGCCTCTTGCTGCTAGATTTTGATTGGTTGTCCTTGTGAGGTACATTATTGCTAAAAGTACGCTTAGAAACTTCACTTTTATGTGCAGGGTCTACCTCCTTATGTGTTTCTGTTGTGGTTTTTGTTGTTTTATTTTCCTTCGAATTTTCTGTACTATTTACGCTATCTACATTACTTAAATTTTTATTCTCAATATGATTAATATTGTCTTTGGCCTCTATAACACGTTCATTCTCTAATTTTTTATTCACACGTACTCCACTATGAGGTTCTCCTTCGCTATCACTAGACAATAACTCAATAGTTGGAGTTGGTTGAACTACTAGTACTACATCTTCATCTTCAACAGTGCTATTCTGTTGAGCACTAATAATTCTCTCCAACTGTCTCCTACAATTCTCCTTTTCCTTTTGTTCATCTTGTTCAGTTTTAACTGTAGCATTTTCATTTGACGTGTCATTGCTTTCAGCAGATTTAGATGTATTTGGTATTATATCTTCCTCTTTTCTTATTAAAGCCCTTATTGCTCTTGCACGCATTTCTAACTCTAACAAATCCAACAAACTATCACCTTCCTTTTCTTTATTTACATCTACATCTTCCTCTTTTTTCACTTGTACATTTTTATAAGCATTATCAGGAACTTTCTTCTGATTAAGTTTATTATCATTCTTTTTAGGAAGTGGTGGTTTTCCTTTCTGTTTAATCCTATCTTTTTTTATTTTTCCCTTAACCACTTTTGAACCATCTTCCTTTTTACATATATCCTCATCGGTAAACCATTCTTCCGTGTCTGAGATAATTTCCAAAGAGGGTCCTATTGTCGTGAAAATAATTTGCATAAAATACCTAAATCATTGTATATAAACCCTAAAAATATATTATCCTCTACATACCTGAGTCATCTGACTCTGTTGTATCTGATGATTCTAACACAGGTTTGCCATTCAAAATACATAATATACGACTTTTTGACATACCACTTAGTTCAGTAGCACACCACTTTTCTAACTGTCCTAAATCCATTTTCTAAAAGAAATTAAACTTAAATTAAGCTTAACATAAATCTAACTTTATTTCCTTAGAAAATTAATCAATATTTGCTTCTGTCACATATACTATAAAGAAATGAAATCCTTATCCAACAAATGATCTAACTAATAATTTTACCTTCAATGCTTGAGGTAACATCATCTGTATCTTTTCTGCTTTAACAGATTTAAATAGTTGGCGAGCTAATTCCCTGCGATCTGACAAATACTCTTTAATTGGTTTTAAATCTCGTGCATCTACTTCTTCATCTGATGATAGCGAAGAGGAAGTGCCAGATGAACTACTGGCTTCCTAAAATTTAGTTATACCTTGTTAACTAAATTATAATAAGTTTATAAACTCACAAGGAGCACATTAATCAAATCTTAGCAAAATATACTGAAGTAGAGGAGGAGAAATGATACTGGGGTCAATTACCTCACTACTGTGTGTACTCTTTTTTACTTTTGACATATTTCATTTATGAAGTACTTCATATATAATTATTACATACAGTTTGTATAAATGACACTCAATTTCGACTAACTTCTGCTACGTATTACAAACATTTTCAATTTCCTTTATTTTTAAGTTCACATATTCAGCA